CGGCCCTCCCAGAGGGGCCCCTGTGAGGGGGTTTTGCTGCGGCGAGCCTGCTCCTGCCTCTTCACCCAGTCCGGGTGCCTCAGCCTCAGGACACTTGGTCATCGGGATTGCTTCCCCCAACCCTGGCGTCTATCTTTTCTCTTTCCACTCCTTGAAAAGAACTTTAAAAATAGAAAAAGAGAAAATTATCTTAAAAAAAAATTTTTTTTTTTTGAGGAAGATTAGCCCTGAGCTAACTGCTGCCAATCCTCCTCTTTTTGCTGAGGAAGGCTGGCCCTGAGCTAACATCCACGCCCATCTGCCTCTACTCTATATGTGGGATGCCTGCCACAGCATGGCATGCCAAGCGGTGCCACGTCTGCACCCAGGATGCGAACACGCAAATCCCGGGCCGCCGAAGTGGAATGTGTGCACTTAACCGCTGTGCCACTGGGCTGGCCCCAAAATTATCTTTTTTAAAATTAGAAAACATAAATAAGCAAAAGGAAGAAAATTAAAATGCCTAATACAAATAAACGGGGGCCGGCCTGTGGCCTAGTGGGTAAGTTTGGCACACTCCACTTTGGTGGCCTGGGTTCCGATCCATCTGGATACCTATTCCACTCAACAAAAGCCATGCTGTGGCGGCTACCCACATACAAAATAGAGGAAGACTGGCATAGATATTAGCTCAGGGCAAATCTTCCTCAGAAAAAATAAATAAATAAAGTAATAATTCTATCACCCAGGGGCAACCAGGGTTTACCAGTGTGGCCTCCATCGCTTTACATGTGTTCTTTCCAGAGGGGGTCCTATCACTCAAACTGTCTTGTAACAGCCGTTTTACTGTACAATGTGTTGTGATCACCGCTTGGGTCAGGAAGCGTTCTTCCTCAGCATAATTACTAATAACCTTCCAGGAGCCCATCCTCTTTCCCGAGTGTGATTTATTTATCGAATCTTCCACCAGACGCTTGGATAGTTCCCAGATTCTCACTTGAACAAACGCTGAAATGTTTATCTTTTTGCTGAAGTCTTTTGCATAAGCTTATGCATAAGCTTTGACGGCAGAGAATTTTTTGTTTCCAATAAGACCTTGACCACCCTTTAAAAACCAACTTGAAGGTCTCTTGGTCTCTCATTTCTAGAGCACCTTCCAGCTTTCTGTGTAAAACAACTCACAAAACTGAACTGCACGAGGGGAGAGGCTGGGCTGCCTGAGCCAGGTCGCTGGCGGTTTAGCGACGTCCCATCTGTCTTCTGACCAGGGCAGCGGGCCCACCCTGCTCGCGAAGGTCTCTCCATCACGCCCTGGAGGTCGGCCCCTGGGGGCTCTGGCCGCTCTCAGGGCCCCGCTTCGTGGAGCCCCCTCCTGGGCGCCGCGGCCCCGCGGGTCTGGATCCGAGCCCCATGCGCTCTCCAGGGGCCTCCGACCCGCTCTCCTAGGGTCTGGGTGTGAAGGCACCCTCCTCCCGCGGGGCCGGGGTGGGGTGCGGGTCTCAGAGAGCACGGGATGGGTGTCTGCGTCACGGCTGCGACCCCAGTCGGGCTTAGGCTTCGCTGTGCACCAGGACGTGTGGCGCGGGTTAGCCAGGGGTCACAGCTTCTTCCTGCCCCCACCCCCCCGCAGGGGAGTGGGAGTCGTGCAGCCCTCTCCTCCACCGCCGGCCTGTCTCCGCAGCCCACGACCCCCAGGACCCCCGCCCCGGTCCTGCTGGGGCCTGAGGACGGGCGGAGCCAAGCTTCACAGCGCCTCGGAACCCCCCCCCCGCCCCCCCCGCCAACCTCTGGGATCCCCTGCAGTCCCTCGGATCGCACAGACCCTCAGAGCCCTGGGGCCTCCCGAACCTCTCCGATCCCCTGCAGCCCCCGGGATCCCACAGACCGCAGGAACCCTTGGCCCCGCAGAACCTCTCGGCTGCCCCAGAACCCGCCCCAAGCCTCCAGACCCCCCGGCCTCAAGCGCGCGGGGGAGAAGGCCCCGAGGTCCGGGTCGCCGGGCGGGGCCCTCGCTGGGATTGGCCGCGTCCTCGATACTTTGTAGCGACCTCGCCTTCCTCGCTGCCCCGCCGCCGCCGCGGCGCCTCCTCCCGAGGTGCGGGCCGAGCACGTGCGCGCCGAGCGCGGAAGTGGGGAGAGGGCGCGGGCGAGGGTGAGTCGGAGGGCGGGGGGCGCGGGGCGCGGGGCGCGGGGCGGGGGTCGCTGGGCGGGGGGCATGGGTGGGCCCCGCGGCGCCGAGAGCGGAGCCGCCGGGGCAGACATCTCGGCCTCCGCGGGGGAGCATCGCCCCGAAAGGTACGCGGGCTCCAGGCCAGAGCCAGGCGGGGGGTGCCTGAGTCAGGCCGCCCGGCAGAGCCACCTGTCCCCGCTCGTCACCCCCGTCCCTGCCCAGGGCCGGGTGCCCTCAGTGTCCGGGGTGCCCCAGGAACCCACTTACTTCCTGAACTCCTGGGTGTGGTCTGCATAGACCTGGCCCTTAGCCTCTTTCCCGCCCTCTCTGGAGCCGGTGGGGGGTCGGCCCTGGAAGAACCTGGGGTCCTGAGAGGAGCCCTTCTCTCGCCGCGTGATCGAAGCCCTGGAGCCTCGGCCCCCTCGGGGGACGCGAGGTGCGGGACCTCCTGCCCGGCGGGACGGGGAGAAACGCGGGGCCCCGAATCAGGATTCGGTGACACGGCACTAAAGCTGGGAAGTGGCTGCGTAGACGGGAGCGCGGCCCCCTGGACCGGACAGGCGGGGCGGGGCTGAAAGAACTGGAAGCTGAGGCCAGCTCTTGTCAGGGGGCGCTCACAGGCCGGTCCCCAGCATCCTGGCGCGCAGATTCTCACCACCTTTGCGGAAAGCAGTTTGGCAGCCTGTACTAAACACGGAGAGGTCCTATAGCACTGCCCTTAACCTCGCTCCCAGGGGTCTGTTCCATAGAAGGAAGAGTAATGGCGAACCAAAGGTGTTATGTTTGAAAAACCAGTGTCTAGCCTGCTGCCTCAGTTCCACGGGTAGGGAGGTGTTTAAACGAGCTACGGCGCCTCCTTTCACGGGATGCTGTGCAGGTCCGTGCGTGTGGACTAGGAAGTATGCTGTGGTACTAGCCAGAGTAAGTGTGGGCATAAGCAGTCTCTCTGCTGCTAGAAATTGGCGCATGTACACATAGTCAGATTGGTATAAAAAAGGAAAATTCACAAAGCCTTCGAGTCTAACTTGCCATAGCTTACACGTGTGGGGGGGCAGAGTAGATGGACCATAGCAGAGTGGGATTTGGGGATGTAATGGATCAGTACTCCCTGCTTGGACACTGAAGCCAGCCCGCTGGGGTCCCCACTCTGGACCTTGAGGGTTGCCGCCCCTCTCAGCCTTGTCTTTGCCTGGCAGAGGGGAACAGCTCAGTTTGAAGGTGGAGGTGCCTCCCCTCAGCAGAACCAGGCACAGGGAGGCCCAGCAGTCTTCATTCCTCTGCATAGTTTTTTTTTTTTTTTTTTTAATTTGTGGCATTAGGGCAACCTTTAAATCTTTGTGTTTTTCAAATACAAGTTTTGGGGTTTTTTTTGTTTTTTTTGTTTTTTTTCCCCCAAGATTAAAACAGCTAAAACCAGGTGGTGCTGCTCCTGCTCCCTCAGGCCCCATGGCCCCTCTTTGCAGGAATGCAAACAGTCTGCCCAGGGCACCTCCTGAGTGCTCTGCGAGGCCTTGGCATCCATCTGGCAAAGGCTGGGGAAATCTGATGACCCTAACGTCCACAGTCCCTGCCCTACTGGGCCCCAAGAAGGAGAGATACAGAATGTGATTACCTTGTGTGTAAGAACATGGCGGATGTCAGAGGACCTGGGTGGGGCCTGTGGGAATTCCCGGGGCACCGGGAATCCGTGGAAGCTCCAGAGGAGTGAGGGGGGACTGCTGTAGTGATGGCACCTGGCTCAGTCTGGGCACACAACCAGGGACTAACAGGAAATTTTGGTGAGCATCTGATGCCCCCCGCCTTTTCCAGGGTGAGTTCTTACTATTGCCATGTTACAAGGGCCTGTGGCAGGAGGGACCTTGTGGGGTTGGTCTGAAGATTGACGCATCAGCCTGTGGTGAGTGCTGGCTGTTGTCATGACTGCCCTCTTGTTTGCAGAGGGGCCCAACCTGACTCGGGATGCAGAGCTTCCTGAACCTGCTGAGGGGGAGTGAGGGCTCCGGCCCTCCCTTGGCAGAGCTGGTGACCCTCGCAGGCAGGCTGTGCCGTGACCTCCAGGACGACCCCGCCCAGGTGCAGCCCTTGGTCTCAGCCCTGCTGGACAGCCAGCTCCGCCTGTACTTGCTGGACAACGCGGATGTGGCCCTGGTGTGCGCCCGCGTGCTGGCCCAGCAGGAGCAGCACCAGGACGCCTGCCGGCTGCTGGAGGTAGGACTGGTCTCGGGGGGTGCACAGAGACAGGCAGCTGCTGCCATCCCACACGATGGGAATGCCCGGAAGTCAGCAACAGCCTGGCGAGGGGTGCTGTGCACCGAGTGGGGTGGTCCACTCTCACTTGACTAAGTCTGACTAGGCTGGTAATGCGAGACCAAAGTATTCACTTGTCGAATCCATATGGAGTGGGGGTCCTGGCTTGGAGAACTGGCATCTAAGTCAGCGAGACAGACAGTCAGACCCAGATCTCAGCCCCTTAGCTGCAGGTCGGCCATCAAGAACTTTGAAAGGAAAAGTCTTTGTCACTCATCTGGTGGTACTTGGAACCTCAACTCATTTGACCTCAAAACCTGACCTGCATTGATGTGAAGCTATTTATGGTCTTTATTTATTCCCTTAATGTGACTGTGGTACATCTGGCTTCCTAAATACTGGTATGTTTGATTCTGCGGTGCTGCCTGCCCCAGATTACACTGGCGTGGTGCATACTATGTAGTACATACCAGTACTTCCTATAATCTGAGAAGTTCTGAATTCCAAAATACTTCTGGCTCAAAGGTTTTCAAATAAGGGATTTATGGGCGAGTTTTTCCCTCTTTCACCCCATATTACAGTCCATGCTGAGTTTACAAGATACTCAATTCTTTCCAGTTCTTTTTATTTCCACTCCTCACCCCCCCAAGCCATGTGATGTCCTCTTGGCCACTCTCCCTATGTCCTCTCCTGCTCCCTTGATCTGTTCCTCACGTATCGGCCAGAGAGAGTTTTAAAACTGCAGATGGGACCACGGTGTGCGCCTGCCTGCGATCTGAGTCTGCCTGCTCCACAGGCTCATCTCCAGACTCAGCCCCGGCTTCCTCCACAGTGACTGTGCCAGCTTCCTTGCTGTTCCTAGAACTCCTGAGATATTTCTTTGTCTTAGGACCTTTGCATGTGCCATTCCCTCTGCCAGAGGCTGGTGCTTGGCTCTTTGTGTGGCTGGTGCCTTCTTACCTTTCTGGTTTCTTCTTTAAAGGTCACCCTGTCTAGGCACTGCTCCCTTATTCTCCAGTACAGCCCCTCGTTCCCCCCTCTGTTGCTCCTTCCTCAGTTCATAATTAGAAGCCTATTTATTTGTCAGCCTGTGTTTCGTGTGCCTCCTGGTTCTGCACCGCAGGCCCCAATGATGGAGGAGCCGCCTTGGTTTGGCTCATTACAGGATTCTCAACACCCAACGTGACACATGCAACATAAGAGGGGCTTGGTTTTTCAAATCCATCAAAATAAACGGATGAAGTGAACAAACAAGGGAACACACAGCTGGAGTCGTAATACCTGCTGTGAAGGCAGTCGGTGATGAAGTGTGTGAATGACACCAGCGATGAAAACTCCCAGGAGAGGGTACAAACTCAGTCAGAATGATCCAGAAGTCTCTGAGGAGGTGACGTGTGGCTGAGACCTGAGTGATATGATGGGCCACCACGCCAAGAAAGGGCATCTTTGGCTCAGGGCCAAGTCCTGTGGGCAGGGAGGGTCCCGTATGGGTTCCTTGACCTGTGCCCTCAGCCGATGGCTGCATCCAGGCTGGAGATGGCAAGCCGCAGCCCAGCACAGTGGGCTTTGTCTGATGCTGTGGAGAGAAAGCTAGATGATTCCCAGTACCTCCCTCCGCAAGATGGTTCTGGGAACACTGGAGTTAAAGGCAAGAACCACACACACTGACCACAGGGGCTGTGTCCCAGGGGAGGCCAGTGCTGGGTGTCCTTGGCCATCTCCAAAGTCTGGGCATGGGAATAAGTCACAGTGGATCGGTGAGCTGTCACCGGGCACAGACCTGGACCCCTCCATCCCACTTGGCTCAGAATGCGCTCGCTGAGCACCTAGGGGCTCAGCCCTGCTTGGTGGGAGAAAAAGGCCATTCACGTAAGACATGGGTCAATCCTCAGACCCTCAAATCTGACTGTGTGGTTCTAATCGCAGCTCTGCCTCTCTGTGCTGTGTGGCCACAGGCCAGTTACTGGCCTTCCCCTTGCCTCGTGCCCCTCACCTGTAGGGAGTGACTGAGAGCTGTGCTGACCTCATGTGCTTCATGGGAGGGTTGAAGGGCAGAGGTGAGTGGGTGGCCGGTGGGGCCACCAGGGTCACTATGGAACCTGGTGGGGATTGGCATGCTGGTCATATGGCTCCTGCCCTTATGGCTTGGCGCATCAATGAGCAGCTCCTCCCAGGGTCAGGTTGGGTCAGATGCCGGTACTCCAGGGTGGGCGAGGGTGGCCAGGTCTCAGGAGGCTTTCTCGGTAGGGTTGCCGGGTGCCAGGAGGCAGCCAGGAGCTGGTGCAGCTCTGGAATGACATTCACTACCGTCTAGTCATGAAGAGGCTGGGTGTGGCCACGCTGACCCCGGTGCAGAAGTTCCGCTGCAGGAAGAGGTACACTGCTGGCCTTCATTTGTGCTTATTCTCTGCGGCTCCCAAGGGATGTGCTGTCCAAAACCACAGAACGGCTGAGGTGAGATAGAGGAAGGGAGATCAGGGCCAGAAAAGTCAGATGAAGCAGTAACAGTCAAAAGGTAACAGGCTCACCTGCTGCCAGCGTGCCCGACTTGGAGCCATGCTCTCCACCTCTCAGCCGGCCGTGGCCTATTCCTGCCTGCACCTCTGGGGCAAGGAGAGCCAGCTGTTCCCAGGAGCGAGGCAGAGTTCCAGCTGTAGCAGGAGCCACTGCCCACCAGTGAGGCCCCCAGGGAGGGAGTCAGTGGGTGGGCACCTCACCTCACTCTCGTCTTGTCTCCTCCTCCCGTGGGAGCCACCCAGCACATGTGCCTCAGGGCATCTAGTCCCCACTGTCAGGCTCTGCAGGTGGCCCAGCCTGAATCCCAGCACTGCCCCTCAGGGCTGCAGGACCTTTTAAAGAGAGATAAAGATGAGAGTGCTGCAAGCATTAGATGAGATACATGCCTGGCATGTGATGGATGTTGAACAGATGTTAATACTAATTACCACCATGACCATTTTCAGCACTGAGTAAGCAGTGTGACTACTAATTATTATTATTACTGTCATTACCAGTCATGGATGAGGAAACTGAGGCATAGAAAGGTTAGTAACTTGCCTAAGGTTGCATACAGGAGAGATGCAAACCCAGCACTCCAGCCCAGACACTGAGATGGTAGAGCCTTTGTTGTTGATCTTGGGTGTTCCCCACTGGCCAGGAGGGGCTTCAGATCTTGCTTTGAGCTCCTGACAGCTCAAGCGGCAGAGGATTCCTGAGCCATGAGCCCTGGTTGATGGCCTGGTTACTGGGAGAAAAAGAGATGGATTTCTTTTGGACCAAATAGAGTGAGATATGTCCTGGAAGCCTGGCAGCTAATCAGCATTGGGGTCTTCAGGGATGCAGTCATGTCCCTCCATTTGGTGCTGACGGCCTGCCAGAGTGCAATTCAGTGAAGTAAATGATTTGGGGACCAGCATGCAGAGTTTGTGGAGAGGTCCCTGATTGCTGGGTGCCACTGGAGGTGTTGGTGATATAGACTGGGACCTGCTCTCCTGGAGCTGATGTTGGGTGTGGATGATGGACGGTAGACAAGGAAACAAGGGAGGTCCCATAATTCAGAGTGAGGAGCACTAGATGGAGAATGCATTCAGAAGAGGACTGTGACTCATTGCTTCTTTGCTCTGGGGAAGGGGCTGCAGCACAGGTCTGTCCCAGCTTTGGAGGAGAGGCCTGAGCACAGACGGCAGTCCCTGGGGGCATAAAGAGGGAGTGACATGGGAGTTACAGCAAATGCTCAGTGCAAGAGCAGAGGCAGGAGGTTCTTAGCATCTCTGGGAGTGGCCAGAGAGGGGTTGTGTCGGGACAGATTTTGGAGTATTTGCTGATGGGTTGGATGTATTGGAGGAGGTAAGACAGAATGAAGCTGGACTCCAGGGCTCCTGGCTTGATTGGCTGGAACGTGGTGGTTTGTCACCGAGATACACAGCATGTGGGCTGGGGCAAGATCTGGAGAGTCGGGGACCGAGCTCCATTTGGTTTGTGGGTGTGTGGCATGCATTTTTGACATCCATGGGGATTTGCTCAGTTGGTGTTTGGATATCAAGTTTTGTATGGATAGGTGCTATTTGTTTATATGTCACTTTTTTCTTTTGGAAAAATTCAAATATATACAACAGTAAAGAGAATAGCATAAGCAACCTCAACATCCTCATCATCCAGTTTCAAGAGTTATTGGCCATTGGTTAGCTTTGGCATCTCAGTGAGTGGTCCTGGAAACCCTGGTGAGACCACTGTGAGAGTGTGGAGCACAGTACGGGCTGAGCTGACGCTGGGCCCCTCCCTTGTTCAGGGGACAGACCCCTGGGATTTGTAGCACACAGCCAGGCAAGGAGGAGTGGCTAGTGAGACGTGAGGCAGTCCAGGGAGCGTGGTGTTTGGGAGCACATGAACTGCATCCAGGAGAAGGGGTGTCTGTAACCACCTCCTCACTGTCCTCATCCAGGAACCCACCGCCCCCCTCCCTCTGTCCGGGCGGCCTGAAGAGCCGGAACTTTCCCAGAGAGGTTCGCCAGAAGCTGCATGATTTCGCTTCGGGAGTGAGCGCTAACCCCAGTAAGGCTGAGCGGGTAAGAGCCGACAAGACGGAGGCCAGCTAACCCTCCCCTTAGCTGCCACTCCATCCTTAAGGGACCCTCCACCCTCAGTTGTCCCCTCACCCTTAGGTGACACTCCACTCTTAGGGGACACCATCGTTAGGAGATACCACCACCCTTAGGTGACAGTCCCTTAGGCAACACCAGCCTTACCCCCGCCCCCGGCCTCCCGAGTGGTCTGTCTGCCGGGGCACTGGTGGTCTCCGCCTCTCCTTGAACTCTCATGGGAACAGGAGCTCGTTGGCGTGCAGCCCCTGGCCGTCCAGCGGGCAGACGTAAAGCCTTTTGTTTCCTCACGTGGGGTCATAATATCCCCAGTCGGTGTGGCTTCAACAGATGTTCACTGAACACCCACTGCGGCCAGGCCCGGGTACCAGGGTGAGAAGAGTCGAGTATCTGCCTCCGTGGAGCTTCCCGCGTCGGGCAGGCAGATGGCCGCGGAGCCCAGTGCCTGCCGAGGCTCGTGGGCGCCGTCCCCGGTCCCTGAAAGGAGGAGGGATGCGCGGGGTGGGGTAAGGTCGCGAGAAGAGGCCAGGTGGGCAGGCGGGAATTTCGCGGGGTTCAGAAATCTGGGCCCGCTCTTTTCACCGGCGTCTTTGCGCTGTCTAATCAGCGGGGCTCTTCTGTGTTTGCTCCACCCACTTCTCTCCCCATCCAATCATCAGAGCTGTCCCAGCGATCGCCCCTCCCGCATCTCTCTACTGTCCAATCGGCATGGTTCTCCTAGTAGTCACCCCGCCCACCTTTCTCAGCCCTCCAATCCAGCGCTCTGCGCCGTGGGCAGTGGACGGCTGGGGGTGGGGCTGTCTCTTGAGAAGGTTGAAGGCGCAGTTTGCTCGAGGCGATCGCGGGCCGGCGCGCCCACGTGGTCTGGGTGCTGGCGGCGGGAAGCTCCGGCTCCGCCGGTTCTGCCCGAGTCCCCCCTCTCTGGGTGGCCGTCTGCGGGGTCCGTCGGCGCCCGGCCGCTCCCTGTCCCCGGCCCGCGGAGAGCCTTCCCGGTGGGGCCGCCGGGAGCGGGGCTAGAGGCCGTGTCGTTCGGGCAGGAGAGGCTGGCCTCGGAGACGAGCCTGAGCGCGGAGCAGGTCTACAACTGGTTCGCCAATTACCGGCGGCGCCAGCGGGCCCTTCTCCAGCGCGCGGAGCCAGCCCCGGACGCGGCCGCAGACGCCGGCGCGGGGGCGAGGGGCCCGGTCGCCCCGCGGCCGTCAAGTTGCCCCGACCTGGGTTCCGGACGTGGGGACCGGCCTCTGTGGTCAGGTGAGTGGCCCGAGGGCCCCGGCACCCTCTCAGGTCTGGGGCCAGGCCTAGGTAGGGCCCCTCTGGTGCAGGGGCAGTCCCCCCACCCCAGTCCGCACGTTCGGCTTTCAGCCTGTCCGGAGCGAGACCGCTGAAGCAGAGGCTCGGATTGGGCTCAGGGTGGGCCCAGGCGGGGCTGCGGCCGCCCTTTCGCGTTTAGAGGTTACTTTGGGGCCAGGGCCACAAGTCAGTGAGTAGATTTAGGAAGTGAGCCAAACGCCAGGCTTTAGGGTGTCCTGGGTTCAGATCAAGGGACAAACAAAGAATTTTGGGATGCTTGGGTGGCGACACCGTTTTCAGGCCAGCGGGGCTGCTCTTAACCTCCTGGGCAGGCGGCTGGGGCTCGAGCATCGCAGAGCCCCGCTCCCATCTGATTGGCTTTCAGGAGGACGCGAAGAAAATGGGCCTGTACAGTCCCCGGAGACCACCCAAGAGCCATGGGAGCCGCTGGCCCTGTCCCTGGACTTTTCTGGAGATGAGACTATGCCAAAGCCACTGGCTTCCAGGTACTGCCATTCCCACAGGCTGTGTGACCATCTCCTTGTTCAGCTCCCCCATCCTCGGTCAGAGACCTGGCCTGGCGTGGAATTGCTGGGGCACACACTGGGACCAGGTCAGTGACAGCTGAGCACAGACAGCTGTGACCCCAGGGGTAGTGGGGCCACTGGCAAGGAACCTACTTCAGGGACCTGCACACTTCCTCCTTGGAGCCTGTTTCACAGCCTGGCTTCATGTATATTTTGGAGAATGGAGAAGACAGCTAGGAAAACGTGCAGATCTGCCTCCTGAAGGCAAGTTCAGCTGTCTTTGTGGTTTGTTTATTTCTAGTATTTTCTGTGGTTTGTATTTCTTGAGTTCCTCCTACCAGGCACTGTCCAAATGCTTTCCCTTGCTCTACAAGGCACAAACCTGGTGCAAGGGTAAGGCAAGTGCTGGCCAGCAGCAGGACTAGGGGTCAGGCCCAGGCTTGTGTAACCATCAAGCTGTGCACTCTTTTTCCACTTAGTGCTGTGATATCAGCTTCTCTCGTGACAGTACTGGGGCCTGGCACCTCATATCCAGGCTGGCTCTGACCTGGTGTGTGACCTCAGACAGATTCCTGTAACCTCACAGTGCCTCGCTTCTTTCACCTGTGAAATGGGGCTAGCGATAGGACCTGCCCTGCAGGTTGTTGATAAGATTATAGGGGTGGTGGTAGGGAGGTGTTGACAAAAGACAAGGGCACTATCCGAGACACAGTGAGCATTTGTGGAATGTTAATTCTTTAAATTATTATCAACTGCTGCCTCATATTCCTTTAGATAGTCATTATCTGTTCATTCCACTGTTAGGCTTAGCCTATTCATTTTCAGCATTCAATATTGTTGAACAATGCTTTATTGAAGGTCCTTGTACATAAACTGCTAACGTATCATAGGTTTCCAGTAATAGTGTTCTTTAAGTGTCTCTAGAACCCTTGCAGCTGCAGGGAGAACAGTGAAGGCAGCGTGACTAGGGATGTGCTGGGTGATTAGGGATGTCAGTTGCTGAACTGATTCAGGAACCCAGATTTCCAAACTGGGCTGGAGTCTCCTCCCAGGCCCCACTGCCCCGGCCTGAGGAGCCTCTGCCCACCAAGGGATGGTGTCCACTGTGTTCCCCAGGTCTCTGCAGGGTGCTGAAATATACCAGGAGGGGCCTGGCCACGGTCCTGCCAGTCTCCCCACCGTCTGCCCTGGCTCTGGCCTCTGCCCTCTGGCTGCCAGCAGTGACATGCTGGACCCCTCGCTGGCTGCCCCTGAGTCATGGCTGATGTCCCTTGCACTGGCGTCCTCCAAAGAAGTTTCCTTCCAGACTGGGCAGCTGGTCCACGGTCACGGGCTGGACTTCATGATGCGCCCCGCAGATGCTGCCGTGTCTGTGTCCATCGCTGCCCTCAGTGAGCCCAGCCCCACAGGTGGGTCCACTCCAGACAGACCATGAGTTTCTGCACCAGACGCTACAGCTACTTGTGTCCCATTTGAGGGGGCAGAAGTGCGCAAGGGTCAGAACTTTCTGCTTGAATCCCACGCGTTTGATTCAGGTCAGAACTTTCCACTTGATCCCACAACCAGTGCAGTTAGAACAGAAGCTTGTCCTGCAAACATCCCAGATACTTCTCGTTATTTTATTTTGCAAAATAAGATATACACGTCTGGAAAATAAGACAGTGAGGAAAGAGCTAATGAAATGAACCAGCTGCCACCCCTGCACTTTCCAGTCTAGTCCACCTCGCTCGCCGTCCCCGTGGCTGCAGCTGAGGAGAGCTGAGCTGCTTAGCTCTCCCTCCTCCACTCATCTCATCTCATGGTGGAAATATTTTAATTTCTCTCTTAGTTATCATAGTAGATATAAATACCTTTAAAGAATACATGTTTAGATATGTATTTCATCCACCAAATACAGTAACATCTTGTGACATCCCACTGAGCTAACATCTGTTGCCAATCTTCCTCTTTTTGCTTTAGGAAGATTGGCCCTGAGCTAAGCTCTGTGCCAGTCTTCCTCTATTTTGTATGTGAGTTGCCGCCACAGCATGGCTTGACAAGTGGTGGAGGTCCAAGCCTGGAATCCAAACCAGTGAGCCCAGGCCACTGAAGTGGAGTGCTCCAGACTTAACCACTGTGCCACAGGGCTCACCCCAACATCCCACCTTTTAGTGAGGATATTGGCACTATGAAGTCAGCCTTTCACCAAGATTTCCCAGTCTTCTATGGTAATATATATGTTGTCTTAGAGTTTCCAGTTGCCTTTTTTTCTTACATTGCCTGCTTTTATCACATCCGTCAGTCCCCTCTGAAGACTTGCTGCTGGGAGCGCTCCTTCCCCATTGAGTGATGTCTCCCTGGGTCTGGGACGGAGCTGTCATCCCAGAGCTCATTGAATCGCTTCCCTGGGTTTGCTCCAGTGTTTCCTGAATTGCAGATCTTGTTCTTTCTTGACTCCTGTTAAATTGGAGAATGCCTTCAATTAACTTTGCAAGAAAGGGTGCCTGTAAGATAAATTTTCTGAGTCCTTTCATGTTCTGAAATTGTCTATTATCTTCCCTCACATTTGATTAACAGTTTGCTAGGGACAGAATTCTGAGTTTAAAATACTGTTTCCCTTCACACTTTGAAGGCATCATATCAGTGTGGCGTCTAGTGTTGTGGAGAAGTCACACTTTCCCTGGTGCTTACTCCCTTACAGGTTGCCTGGGTTTTCTTTCCTGGAGTTTTTTTTTTTAAGTCTTGGCGTTCTGAAATTTCATAGTGATGGTCCTAGGTGTGAGTTTTTTTAAATTCGCTGTGCTGTTAAGCCTTTCAATTTAAAGAACAAGAGAACAAGTTCTCCTTTAAGCTGTGTGCATTTGTTATAATATTCTTTGATAGTTTCTTTGATAATTTTCTCCCTCCATGTTCTCAGTTTTCTTTTTAGAGCCCCGACGTTATTTGGATGTTGGAAATCCTAGACCAATCTCCCCAAATGCTTTTTTTTCTTATATTTTCCTTTCCTTTTTATTGTATGTGTTTTTGGTTTTCATTTATTTGTGAGTTTTTTTGCTGAGGAAGATGTGCCCTGAGCTAACATCTGCTGCCACTCTTCCTCTTTTTGTATGTGAGCAACTGCCGCAGCCTGGCCAGTGATGGACGAGTGGTGTAGGTCCACGCCCAGGAACCGAACCTGGGCCACCAGAGTGGAGTGCACCGAACTTAACCACTAGGACACTGGGGCTGACCCTGGGGGAGTATTTCTTAAACTCTGTCTTCCAGTATTTTATTTTGTTTTAACACCTTTGTTTTGACAGTTATATATTCTAAGAAAATTCTAAGCTCTCATCTCTGAATTTTCCTTTCTTAATAGATCTTGTTACTTTTTATAGATGCAATATTTTATATTTCTCTGAGTATCTTAATTAGATGTTTCAAAAAACTATGCTATGTTGTCTGAAGGCAGGAGTACTGGGGCTGTGGATGTTGGCCTTTCCTTACATAGGGCAGGTGAGGGGCCACAGAGAGGAAGGAACCTGGGGACTCGTCCTCTGGGGCAGCTTTTCAGTGTGACCACATTGGTCTTTCGTTTCTTGCTGCCCATTTTTTTTTCGCTCTCAGAGACTCATATTTGCTTGTCCGTATTTGCTGACAAGGCTGGAGTGGGGACACTCAGGGGCCGACTGGCACTGGGACGAGGGGAGCTGGTCTTCACACCAGGTGCGGCCCCTGGGCAGGTGGTGCTCTCTGGGAATTGGCGAGCTTCCCTGCTGACTGCCGAGCACCAGGACGGAGCCTGCTCGCCCTCACTGCTCCCTCCCTCCCTTCAGGCTCAGCCCCTGCCCTGCGTTCAGATGCCCTACCATCATGGGACTGTACTTGTGCCTGAGTCTGCAGGACTGGACACACCCAGCTGCTAATTACCCCCCCACCGTGACGCTCCCTTTGTTCTTAGCTTGTGGCTTTTTACTTCTCTTTCTTTTGATGAAGAAACTATAACCCATTGGTCTATTATGTTTGAACCAGAAATGTTCAAATTAGCACTTGAGCTGTGTTTCATGTGCCTCACATTATCTCTAGAGTTCTGCAGGAAGGAGGACACAGCAGAAAGTGGAGGTAGAGTCACATAGCAAATGGCCAGGAAGGCTCCCTGGTCTGAGAAGATTTGGGCAGCTGGCCGGCAGGAGGGAGGGCAGTGTGAGCCTGACCTGCTTGCCTGTGATTCTGGCTCTGAGGTCAGGGACTCTTAGGTTAGGTTTACCACCTGGTAGGCTCAGCACAGAAACGAACCTTCCTTCTCAGCTCACTTTGCTCCTAAATGTCTGTCAACCCAGAACTGATCAAATCCACAGTGGCTTGTCTTTAAAAGTGTAAGGCATTCTGAGATATTCTCTGAAACGTCTTAAGTTGAGAGAGTGAAATGAGGTAGTGACACCTTGCACCTCAGTGAAATCATGGTGAAACCTAAGAGAAAAGCTAAAAATGAAAACAGCCAAGGGCTGGCAGCCCAGCCTTTGATGAACCAGCACGAGAGATCCTGAGAGAAGTGGACTGTGCCCGCCCCGTCCTCCATGGCAGCAGCGGTGTGGACAGATGTGGGTTCCCAGTGTTTGCTGCTGGGGGCCGGTGTGAGGTCTGGAATGACAAAGGAAAATTGGAAGTCAGCAAAATTTGACTTCGTTTTGGTCTCTGGAATCCTGAGGAGGCCACTGAGGTCAGCAGTAGTGGCTGTTCCCTTCTCGGAGAAGGAGGCTGAGGCCTGGGGCTGGGAGGCTGGACGCTGCCTCTCTGGGCAGGTCTTGGTCAGGCTGCATGTGGGCTGTGCTAGCTCCTCCCAGCACTGGGATATGAAATTTCTTCCCAATCAGGATTTGCGGCCCCGCCCAGTGGCAATCCCCAGAGCACGTACCTGGAGGAGTGTCCAGGCACGAGTGGTGGCCAAGCAGAACGACAGGAGGGCAGCTTCCTGGTGACACAGCCACCGCCACCGGCTCCTGAATTCATCCTCACCCAGAGGTAAGCCCCACAGCGCCACCGGGCTCTGGCGAAGCTTTCTACGGTTTCTTTTTCTGTGGTAAGGGTAGTGCCTGGTTTATAGACTCACCGTCTCAGACGGTGCAGATTGAGTCCCTTCCTTCTCGGTTTCTGGACACTACACAGTTCCCCTGGCCTGCATCTACCAAAAGAAGAGGGTGGTTTTTCCCTTAGACAGAAGAACACCTGCAAACATCAGAGCAGACATGGGCCTCCATCTGGGGATGCTGCTCAGGCCTCACTTCTTCCCTAAGATCTCCCTGGTCCCCAGCAGCCTCTTTCTAGCATTTTCTTTTTCTCAGACAAAGGATTTCAGAGTTTCTGAGCAGCATAAAGATCCTGATTTTATATTCCACGTTGTGGTTTTGAAGGGGCTTGGAAAGGCTTGAACAGCCTACGTGCTATGGACTGTGGTCTGTGGGGACCAGGACAACAGGCCAGGAGACTGCAGAGGCAGAGAGGAGGGACGGAGGAGCGTGACAGGTCCTCTGGTGGAGAGGGACTCTCCATGGGGGCTGCCAGGACCAGGTCCCCAGGGTTCAGGGTCTCCCTAATCTGGGAGCTGAAGGCCAGGTGCCTAGTGAGGGGAGAATTACAGGGGACTTGCGAGAGGCGGGGGGCAGTCCCCCGGCACAGGCTCTGCTGAAACAGCCAGACGGCGAGAAAGTCCAGGCCGGGCAGATGGACTCGCTTCTCCATTTGTGATGGGGAGCTGTGACGGAGCACATTGCACCACAGGGTCCCCTCGTGGCTTGCTTGGCCTTCACTGGCCGTCCCACCCTTGGACTCTGATGCCCCAGCCCATCTTTGCTCTGATCTAATGACCTTGATTTTTTCTTTAAAAACAGCTTCATTGAGGTGTAATTGTATACAGTAAACCAGCATGTTTAGATGGTACAAATGACGGTTTTCTGAAACCATAATGGTGCTGAAGGTCATGAGCCACATAGGTCGTTCCCACCCCCCTCAACCCCCCACCCCCAGGACCACGGATCTAATTTTTTTAGCTGCATTTTCCAGAATTTTGTATGGACGAAATCAGACAGTAGGTACCCTTTTTCAGTCTGGCTCCTCTCGCTTGGCCTTGCTGCTTCGAGGTTCACCCCTGGAGCTGCGTGTACCCGCAGTTCTCCCTCTTACTGCTGAGTCCTGTTCACTGAGGTGGAGGGACCACAGTTTGTCGACCCTTCAGCTGTTGGCGGCCTTTTGGGAGTTCCAGTTTTGGCCGCTGTGAGCACTCCTGGACACGTGTCAGTCTGCATGTTTGCCGTCATGTCCCTGGGCACGTGTACACCTAGGAGTGGACTGGCTGGCCTTTGCCTTTTTTGAGGAACTGCCACTGTTGCCCTGAGTGGCTGCACCTGTCACCTTTCCTGCTCTCCCTGCTCCTCCGCCTGATTTGGTCCTAATGGCCTCTTGTCTCCTTTACACCCCAGGCCTGTCCCTTCTTTGTGGCCTTTCTTCCTTCACGTTTGTGCTTCCTGTCCCCTTCTCTGTGAGTCTGCTCTGACATGCTCTCTGACCCACCTGAGCCACCTGCTCGAGGTGTCACACCGGCCCCTCGAGTAGCCTGCATACCTGAGAGCCCTGCGGGAGGAGACAGTTTCTGAAGAGTGTCCAGTGCCTGCAAGGGCTCCTGATGTGCACAGAGCTCTCAGGTCATGTTGTCCAGTAAGTGGACAGTGTGACCTGGTACTCCCTTGAAACAGGGCCCAGCCATGACACGTCCCTTTTCCAGCCCCCCAGAGCTGACACCGGCCCCGTCCACCTTCCTTGGCCCTGTGTCCGCCATGGAGCTGAGCCAGCCCCTGCCCTCCAGCCAGGTGAGGCCCTCCTGTGACCGTGGGTTTCCCTCCTAAGTACTGGATCCTCAGCTGGTGCCTTTGGAGTGAGTAAGTCAGGCAGAGATGAGCAGGCGGCAGGGATGCCTCGAGGCTGGAAGAGTGGAATGGGAGCTGCGGGGCAGGTGTCTGGGGCAGTGTTTCTTACTGAGTCCAGAGGTGGTGCGTCCCAGGGTCAGAGGTGCCCCGGTGGGAAGGCGGGGCCAGGCAGAGGGTGCCTCCATGTATAACGCTATGTTGGCTTTCCAGGTGCAGTGGCCCGATGGCCAGGCCTCCAGCGATGCCTTCTGGGGAGCCAGGGTACTACTTGAGCTCTCGGGGGGCAGCCTGGGCTGAGCTGCCCCTCGGGAGCCCAGCCACTGCCCCAGGGGAGCAGGTGTAACATCCAGCCGTTCAACACAAGTTAGAGAGTTTTATCCAGACTGAAAAAAGGAGGTCCCCCAGAGTTCCCTTGGGGTTCTGCTGAGAAGCACTGAGGGCTGTGTAGCCCCTTGCCATGTTCGAATAGTTTGGTTGTCAGCGGAAGCATTTGAGAAATGTTCATGAGATGAGGAGTGAACGGTGGGTCTGCTCCCCTCAGGCCGCGCAGATCACAGGGTCCAGCTCCTGGGCAGGTTCTGAGCAGTGGGGCCTTTCTAGAGAGAGGAAGATGTGCCGCTGCTGGCCGCCTCCCCCTGTCCTGTGACAGGCTAAACTCCCCCAAGTTAACTTGGCGAGTGAGGCCTGGGCAGCGTTCTGACATTTCTGTGTCTGGGGAGCTTCTACCAAGAGGCGGAAGTGGCTGCAGATGGGCCAGGCGGGGTGGGCCAGGGTGCACTTCCCTCACATTGTCATCCATTTTGTTTGCCAGACAAATGTTGTATTCAATTAAAGTTATATGTTCTGATCTCCCCCCTTTTATTCACTTACTTATGTCCTGGACACCCACCCCCGTCAGTCGCTGGCCAGCATTTCATAGCATGCATGTGCAGTAACCGATGCATCAGTAGCATTGTTTCTAGTGTCTCCATTGTGTAAGGAGACTTCTCGGCCATCTGCTCTTTATCTAGTTATTTTGTTGTGGGAACAAGGAATTGCCCTGGTGGTGAAATGGTTCTGCCCAAGCCCACAGTGCCCCGGGCGCCAAGTGTGGTTCATCCTGGTGCATCTGCCCCCCTCTACATGGGTGACTTTGAGACTTAGGACTGTCATCTCCAGGAATAGGCCCATGATGCTCGCCTCCCCCATCGTGTTAGTCGACAGATGTGTCCTGAGCAGCTTGTGTGGAACAACAGGGAGCGGTCAGGTTTGTACCTCGGGGCTCACAGGAGTGCGCAGGCAGTTACGCAGTTGCAGATGCAGTGATGTGAAGTGAGGGGCTGCTGAGAACCAAAGGTGTGTGGGAGCGCTTGAAAGATGAGATGTTGGGAGCTTGTGGGGGTGTGGGGGCATCTCAGCTGGGACCTGTGCTCAGCCACCACAGCTCAAGGGCCCTCGACCTCTCCCTCCTTCACCCCAACTCTGCAGACCTAACACCCATCGCATCCCGCCTTTATCACCAAAACCGCATGTCTGAGCAGCAGTAACAATATATATACTTCCACTTAGGGACGATCACCTTCCACGCTCCTGAAAACCACAGATATTTCAGGACCTTGAGGGTATTGTGCTAAGTGAAGTAAGGCAGACAGAGAAAGACAGATAGGTATGACTGCTCTCAATGTGGAAGGTAAACAAACAGATGCAGAGAACAGATTGCTGTTACTAGGGGGGAAGGGGTGGGGGAGGGTGAAAGGGGTGAAGGGGCACAGGTGTACAGTGGCGGATGGAAACTAGACTTTGCTGGTGAACACAATGCAGTCTACAGAATCCAAAATATCATAATTTACACTTGAAACTTATACAGTGCTATAAACCAATGTTATGTCAATAAAAACAAAATAAAATAAGTACTCAATGGTAGTACAACACTTATTTTATTACAGAAAATGTACCTATCCTAGAAAATGGTGTTTATCGGGGTTTAGGGAAACTAAAGCTCAGGGAACAGGAAGGAGCCGACTGCCGCCTCTCGCCTGTGTGTGCACCTTGCAGCTGGACCAAGTGCGGCCGTAGCTGATCGTTACCCAGCACAGGCAGAGATGAGTAGACAGCCCACACCTCCTTCCACCGTGTCAGTGTTTCTTTCATTTTCATTTTGACTCTGATCTAACACTGGACCTCTCACATGTTCAAATGTCACTGCTAGTAAAGTAAAATGTCACCTTAATGCAATAAGTAGGATCCAAAAAATGCAACTGTGTAAAGTATAGGGTCTTATTGCATGGTACATGAAAAATACTCTGCTATGGGTCATTAGCATCACAAAAAGCACAAAAGTAAAGATACTAAAACTTACACTGTTTACAACTGAATTACATCCCGAGTAATCAAGAGCTAGTCTCTCCCTAACCCCCGTCCCAGCAAATGAGGACCCTAGCCACCCCAACGTGAGCAGGACTGCTGGATGGAGGATGGGAGTCAACAGTGTCACATCTGAATTCTGTCACCATGGGAGTTTTTACACCTGAGACTTCTGTAGATGAAAGGAGAGTGAGGGCTGCATGACGTTGCCCGACTCTGAGTCACTCTGGACTGCAGTGGATTTCATTTGTCAAACAGGAAATTGGACTGAGTGGTTTAATCATTCTGAGAGCATCCTGTTTCAGAGAGGAGACGAGAGTGGTGCAGTGCTGGCTGAAGGGGCTGGGAGTGAGAGCCCACTGCTTCCTCCGTCTCCAGCCCCCTCACCCGGGGCCCCCGCCTCTGCTGACTGGACCAGCACTCTCCCACATCTGAAACCTGTGCCCATTGACTATGGCTCTGTTGTCAGTCTGTCATCTGCACAGGTGGAGGGATGTGCTCAAAAGTTAAAGATGCGTTGGGTGAAGCTTAGAAACACAGGTTTTTTCTTTTCCTTCAGCTCCATCAAGAGCCCTGGGCTGTGTGCAACCTGACACAGACGAGGACACACGGTGGGAAGGACACTGAGCACTCTCTCCAGGCCCAGGGTGGGTCCCCTTCCAAGTGCAGGTCCCAGGGATTCAACCCAGGAAGTAAAGCAGATGAGAGCGATTCAGAGGTTAGCCAGACGGACAGAGCAGCCTCAAGGGAGAGGGAGAGCCAGACAGGAAATGAATTTTTAGGGCAAACAATTCCACCCTGAGCCCTGTGCCTTCATTTTCCACCTCCCCCCACCCCACCCCAATGAGAAGAAGTTGTAATGACAAGTCTTGAACTTTAAAATATTTCATTGCTTTCACATTCTGGATGGTGTATAAATTTCAGAGAGAATGAATATATACCCCTTGAATTCACTTTTAGTTTCATAATTGTACCTTTTAAAAATATATATATTTGTGAGCATATAAAACAAAGAAAAGAGTATGGGAAATAATTCCTAATAAACAAACATGTATTTGCTGAACACATGATCCTCACACAGCACCTATGAGACCCTGTGAACAGGATCTTGGGGGCGTCCGACAGTCTGTCCCAGAGGCAGGGAGGGGACCCAGCTGTCTTCACCACGCGGCCTCTGCTGAGCTGCACCACAGTTTCTCCTGCGAGCTGTGCAGCAATGCTGCTGACACAGCATTGTCCCCCTGTCTGTGTGAGACCTCGGCACCGAGCGAAAGCAGCATGGGGGGGCACGGGTCTGTGGCAGCCCGTATAGTCTCAAAGCCTGCATGCTTCTTCGGATTTCTTACTCTGTTTGGGATAAACATATAAACACACAACCACGATAAATTCAGCTAAAATAGAAGTAACTTGTAAATAAGTGTTCAACAAGATAAGTAATTGAAGGATTTATAAATAAGAATAATAACACATTAGAAGTATTAAAATGATAAAGGAGGACTCATTGATGGAAATTGCTGATGTACAATGTACAATTGCTGACATATTTAACGCCATGTAAAATGTTCATGATCTAATACTGAGTGAAAAAAAGAGAGGATTCAACATTTTATGTGCAGTATAATCTAAAATTTCTCTGTATGGTTAAGAAGGAAAGATAATTATCAAAATTTTAGTGGTGAGGGGCCAGCCCGTTGGCACAGCCATTAAGTTTGCACTTTCCACTTTGGCAGCCCGGGGTTCACCAGTTCTGATCCTGGGTGTGGACCTATGCACTGCTTATCAAGCCATGCTGTGGAAGGCGTCCCACATATAAAGTGGAGGAAGCTGGGCATGGATGTTAGCTCGGGGCCAGTCTTCCTCAGGAAAAAGAGGAGGATTGGCGGCAGATATTAGCTCAGGGCTGATCTTCCTCAAAAAAAAAAAAAATTTAGTGGTGAAATTGTTTTTTTCCTTTATCACTCTTTTTATGTATATGAAAGGCCTTCCAAAGATAATACATACTTTTTAAGTTATAAATTATAAGTGACAGTGTCTAGAGACGTCCAAGGCTGAGATCCTGGGAGCTGAGGGACACCTGCAATGGGCCCGCTGAACCATGTTCCTCACCAGCTAGCAGTGGCTCGGGGTGGGTCCTCCCAAAGGGTTCTGGTTGGAATTCTGTGGCGTGCTTTGCTCCGGGGACAGTACGCCCCACAGAGAGGAGACCCTTCTGCTCTGTGAGCCTGGGTGCACTTGTCTGGCTGCGCAGATGTTCCCTGGTGGGAAATGCTCTCTTCTAGGGGAGGTACAGCCTTTGATGGAGAGGAAATGCCAGGAAGTTTCGAGAGGGGATGCACAAGGCAAGCTGACTCGGCCTCACAGCGGAGGTCACCGTGGTCAGGCCTCCATGGGCCGGAAAGCAGCGACAAGCGAGGTGATACCCCAAGGCAGGGAGCCCCCAGCCCGGATTGGCCAGTCTGTGTCCCCGGTCCTGCTCCTCAGAGAGAGGCATCTCGCCATCCTTGTGACCTGGCCCTGGCATCTCGCTGCTCATCCTGCAGAGTGGAGCTCTTCACAGGCTGGGCTGGAAGTTGTGTGAACTGGATGGAGAGATTTTCCACGTGCTTCTCCAAGTGTGGAGACAGTGGTCCTGCCTGCAGTGCTGAGGGTTTGTAATTTACTCTAGACCCTGCGAGACATCATGGGATGAAGGCCTTTCTAAATCTTCTGTTTATTGTCATTAGTTGACTAACTTTTATCTACGGTAGAAGATATATTGACTTTTATTCAAAATGGAGAAATACTTTTCTTAAAGAATTCTTTTAGAGACACAGACATCTCAATTTCATTACCTTAAAATCACTAAAAGATAGGAAAAAATCACATTGAGGAAATTTTTCCCTTGGCAAAATATTATATTTTGGTTTGAAGTGTTTGCTAATTGTTCGTGCCTCTTGCCCAGATGAACGGAGTTTATGCATTTAATTCAGTTCAACATGTCAAATTTGAAATGTAGGTTTGTAAAGTGTAAAAAAAATAATTTGTTTCAAGGTCAACCTGTGTGGACGCAGCAACAGCAGTTTCAAAGCAGGTCATGGACACACTTTGCTTCTCTGCATCCCACACAAACGAGTTCCTTGGGTCCCCTCTAAGCAGGAGTGAAGGTTTTTATCAGTTGATTAAACAAAATGGAGTTTCACCAGGAAAACAGGGCTGCCAGAAAAACGATTTTCAGAACTTGAATTTATCTGTAAATTAGTGAGAACACAGGATGGTGAATAGATGCTTGGTAACAAAGCTCTCCTGCTGTCACAGGGCAGGTCCCCAGAGCTCAGCTCAGCCGTCTAGGGCGGCGGCTCCTTTTGCTTGAGACCACGTGGGCGCCAGGCAGACGCCACCCAGCTCCTGCGGGAAGTCACACGTGAGAGCTGCCACACCACAGACACGCCCTCAGCTCTCATCAGACGAAAGTGGCCGCCTTGGCCTGAGAAGCACCTCTGTCTCAAGCTGCCAGCCAAGGGCTAAAGGAC